GGTGCGCGGGTTCCCCTCGGCGGGGCGGGTCGGGGCTGGGCTGGGCTGGGGTTGGGTTGCCGCGTAATGTTCCCCGTAGGGATTGCTGCATGCGTCAGACCCTCTTATCACCACTTCCCGCACAGTGTCGGCGTCCATCTCGCCCGACATCACGTCCCCGCTGCACGGCCGAGTTGCACCTTCCAGACTAACCAGAGTAGACACAGACTTGCTTTGGGCAGGCTTTAATCTAGCGGCCTCCTCCTCGGGTTCAGATGAACAATGATCTCCATCTCTAAAGAGTCCCTCGCAGGTCAGGTCACCGTCTCTGGCATCCCCTTGGCAGATGTTCCTCTGTGCTTGTATGAAGCCACCCCCGAGTCCCAGTGGTACCCGTATCCTGCCTGCCAGCTTCCCTCGTGGCTCGTCCCCCTCCAGAACATCCAGGAACTGCGCCAGTTTCTTGCCCACTGTCTGTGTCCACGATTTCCAACCCCTCTGTAAATTCCTTAGGTCTCCAGCCATAATTTCCCCCTCCAGTGTTGGCATCTGTGGCCTTGTCCACGTGTCCACTTGAGCAGTGTCCTCACCCTCCCCTCAGACTCTGCTTTCTCCCTCTCAAGTCCCAGTAAAGCACATGGTGGCCTCTGCTCAGAGGAGCCGTGGCATCATCTCCCCCAAATCTCATAACGTGTTCATGGCAAGAGCACCCCAGGACATGGGATTTGATCTCCTTATACTGCCTCTTGATGCTAATATTTGAAATGCTGAAAGGTGTTTGTTTATTTTAAGTGGCCAGGCCCTTTTTTTTGTTTTTTGGACTGAACTGGAAGGAGTGAGAACTAGCCTTTACCCAGGATTAGGCCCTGTATTTGTAGCCTTTCAATTGTGTTTGGTTGTGATTTTAAGTACACGAACTGGCCTCAAGACCAAGGTCCAGGGCCAGTAGTAACAAGTTCATAGACCTTTCTCGGGTAACCCACAGTGCATGTCTGGAATAGTCTGTTTTGAGATGCCGGGTTCAGAGAAATAGTCTGACAAAGTTGCAGTGACACAATGTCGGGACTTGTGAGCAAAGCTAAACCTTGCTCATGGCTATGAAGCATTCCTTGGTAGCAATTTTTTTTCTGTGTAACTTCTACAGTTTAATTTTTTTTATTAGCAAGGAGACAGATCCTTGGTTACCCTGTGTCTTGTGTAATCCTTCACACTAGTACAAGCTGTTAATCATTGTGTCCAGGTTAAGTTTTGCACCTGACTAACTATGGGAGGATAGATGCCCTAAAGCACTTCTCTGTAACTCAGATTCCTGTTCAGGACAGTAAGGGCTGCAGGGAACACGACTGTATTTCATACAGCTGATCTTTAGTCAAAGTTCAGTGTGCTTACGCTGCCATCTTTCTGATCTTCCCTCCCCTTTGAAAACAAATTCCTAGTATTACAAAGAGGAGGTGAGAAAAATAGTGAAGGGTAATACAGTTTTGGTTGATGCAGAAGTCCAACTGTTCGTGTCAATATTTATTTGGGCAACTTTAAAAGTACTGTAATTGATAAAACGGCTCCTATCAGGAATGTGCAATTCCACCAGCATTTGCTTTGATAATTTTTAAAGGCATTACACAAATGGAAAGATCTAATCTAAATTATGGACTGACAGCTTGCAAAATTTTGAATAAATAATTCGTGAGTTAACAGCATCAGTAAAATCCTGTAATTTGTTTCAGTGGCTTTGAAATGCATGCTCTACTTTTTTAAACACTTCTTTGAGACACTCTCCCGTTCATTCAAAGTATACTTGATTTTTTTAGGATTGCTGTTGCATGGGGACTTTTTTTTAGTTTTGTAAAGGGAGGGTTCACTAGATGCTGCATTTCAGAGTCAGGTAAAGTTGCTTTTGTCCTGAAACTGAATGATTCAATTTCTGAATTTGTTGCCAGGTATTCTTGCTTTGTTTCAAAGTGAGACAGGTTAATTCATGAGGAAGTGAGTCAATATAACCTTAGCTACCATTAGTTTACAGCAGTGTTTTGTGTGAGGTGGAGAGAATTTATTACTCAGAGTAGGTGTTTGTTCACTGAGGGAAGTTCTTTCAGGAACACTATGAGTTAAGTCATTTCTCACTTAAAAAAAAACTCGACTCCTAACTTGGTGGTTTCTACATGAGGTGAGATCTGGATTGGCTGTTTTGGCTTTTACACATGCTCCTTGCACCAAACTGAAAAAGGAGTCACATTTATATGCCTAAATATCATCAGAGATCTGTTCACAAAGATGGAGGTGCATGTTTGATGAAATTTTTAAAAATACCTAAGTGAATTAGGTGCCTAAAGGTCTCCTTTTTCCAGACTAATGGCCAGATTTTGAGAGTAACTAAAATCAGGGCTCAGTTTGTTCTTTGCCTTTGACCTTATGATCTCTGGGCTAATTCCCTAAAGTGAATTTTCCTTGTTCATGCTAACTGCTATTGCTCTTCCAAAGTGCAACTTTGTGACACAATATTTTAGCCCCCCACCCACTTGTTTCTTTGCAGCTTTGTGTATTTTCAACTGCTTCCTCCTGAATCCAAATGGAAGCCTGCTGCGTCTTAATTGCTTGCTTTCTGGCAGGGCCCAAAGCAAAATGCCACTAATGATTATACTTGGGTTTGGATGGAGTACAGGTTCCAGAATGAATGTTTCACTCATTCATCTTTGTCAAGTGACTGATGGTCTCTGCCGCAGCGGAGAAACTCAGGACTGAAGTGTGCCAGGTTTAAAGGGCTCTGCAATTGATTTTTTTTTTTTTTTGCCAGAGCTTCTAGGAATGTGAACATCTTCCAGGCATCTTGCTAGCTATGCAAAGAGTCCTTGAGCCTGTCAGGGCAAAACCAGAAATGGAAA